CACAAACTTGCCACAATGCGCTTATGTTGGCATCATTGTACAAACAACTCGGTAAGGTTTCCTAGCCTTAGTGTATCAGTGCCTCACAGCTATGTTCATGTTGATATGTGGCGGTGTCTTGTTGAGCGGCGTTCATTATTGTTGCTGCATGTTTTTTGTGTGCCATTGCGAGAATGTGAGAGCTTGAATTGGCACAATAAACAAATCTTAAATTTGTTAAACTTGGCAAGAGTTTGAAAGTGAAATCAGGGACATGTTAGTCCAAGTTTACGGGGATAATTCCATGAAGAAAATGGCAGTGTACAAATAAATGAGAAGTTTTTCTGAGGGGAGAGAAAGCATCACTGTTGAAGAGAGGTCAGGACGACCAGTAATAAGAACTGATGAAAGAATTGCAAAATTTCATCAAATTATGAGAAGCACAGTAGACCAAAAAAACATCAATAAAGAAACGGGAAAAATCTTAACTGAAAATCTTGGCATGAGAAAGGTATGTAGCATTTTTTTCTAGGATGAGTTCGTGAACTTAATTGTCAGACCCCATACATACCTCACTGCTGAATATCACTATAGTCATCTTCGAAGTACTCCTCTTAGGAAGTTATGCACTGATGCCAGTGCCTAGTCCACCCATCAAAGCAATTTTGGAACTCTTTTTCTGGAATGACTATCAGAGCTGTCATCATATTACCCTTGATGTCCTGAATGCCATCAAAATGTCTTTCTTTCAATATTTCCTTTTATCTTCAGGTAAAGAAAAAAAATCATTAGGGCCAGATCAGATGAATAAGGAGGAGTGTTTTTTTTCTACTGGCTAAAAACACCCTCACAGACAGTGCTGAGTGAGCTGGTGCATTGTTGTCATGCAAGAAATATTTATAAGGCAACATTGACAGGTCTGAATAACTAATTATATGTAGAGGGTAAAGAGTAATGACAACTTAAAGATGACTACTCAGCTTCTAACTTAAGTCCTTGAGTGACTGTTGTTGGTACACTTAGTTGTTGGTACACTGAGTTGGAGATGCTAGTATAAGTTGAGGTTGAATTTAAGTTTGAGGTAACTTTAAGATACCATTTAAGATGAATGGTTAGTAATTGAATATAAGTTTGCATCTCAGAGTCAGATTGGTCTTAGAGAAATAAACTCAGCATAAAGTGACTAATTATGAGCTTAAGTGCAGTATATAAGATCATCCAGATGTAGAACACAACCTGAGAGAGGAAAAACACAAAAATAGAATCTTGGGACCAACATTTAAGGTGATTTCCAGTAGCTGAAGACAGACATTGTGTTTCTCCAGGGTCTTTGCTCTTCTACACTGAGATTTTCTCATTGTAACTTCTACTTAATTCCTTCTGAAGATGCTTCATTTTTCTAATTTTCCTCCTAAAATGAGATACTCTCAGTTGACACTAATTCGTGGGCTGCAGATTGACCAGAGATGAGAGTGGTGCCTCCATTCTGGATGCTATAAGGGGCAGAGATGGCAAACAATTCATCAATATGTGTGTTCCTACTTCCTGAATATAGATTTGTCAATAGAAAGCAGTTACCCATCCAAGGCTATATTCCCTCATCTTCCTTGCTAGGGAAATGATGTGTGATACATCCGGTCCAAGGTTTTATAAAGCAGAAGTCACCTCTTGACTCTTTATTTCCTCTTATTTAAGCTAGATGTAAATGACAGCAAGATGGGGCTAAGAGGATGACAAGCCACCTGGTGGAAGGAACCCAGGACCCTGAATTCCGACATGGAAGAAAACAATACACAAGACAAGGAATACCCATCTGACTTTGACAGTTAAATGAAACAGAATTAAATTTCAATTATGTTATGCTACTGAGAACTGGGAGTCTATTTTTTACAGCAACTATCACCCTAATTAATACCATACATCTATTAAAACAGCATCAGAAACCATTGATTTTTGAGAGGAGGGACATCACATTAACATGCTATCAACTAAAACCTCTCATATTTACTAACTTTGATTTTTTTTAACTTTTTTATTTTAATCACAGAATTATACATATATCTCTATTAAATTTCATCTTATTAGATTTGACTGATCTCTGAATATTATAGATATCTGTGTGGAATTTGATTTTGTTCATCCAATATACTAGCTATTTCTTTCAACTCTTTGGCATCCACAAGTTTGATCGAGGCTCTATCTTTGAACCATTATCAAAAATAATTGGAGGCAGGGTGCAGTAGCTTATACCTGTAATCCCAGTGCTTTAGGGGGCCAAGAAAAAAGGTTCACTTAGGCCAGAAGTTCAAGACCAACTTGGGCAACATAGCAAGACCTCATCTCTAAAAAAAAAAATTAAAAAAATCCAAGTGTGGTGGAACACACCTATAGTTCCAGCTACTCTGGGGGCTGAGGTAGAAGGATAGCTTACGCTCAGGAATTTGAGGCTACAGTGAGCTATGACCACGCCACTGTACTCCATTCTGGGCAGAGAGCAAAACCTTGTCTCTAAAAATAATACTGATAATAACTGAAAAGTTGGGGTTGGACTAACATTTCCAGAAATATTCTTATAATTGCATTTCATGTGAGCTCTCTATGGACACTCCTCAACCTTGCTGATACCTCTCCTAATTTAGGTGAACTTATATCATTCTACTCAACTACAGCTTTGAGTTTTGCAGGACTTGAAGGTGAGAGAATTAAAAGAGTAAAAGTGGACAACACTCAAAGGGAATCTGTCCTCTTCTTTTCCGTCCCATTAGTCCAAGCTTTTCACTAGTTCCCAATCACCCCTATGGATTCAATAAGCAACCCCACTGGCTCTGGTCTTTCCCCACTTCCATTCATCCTAGATTCCTCTCTCACAGATATTTCTCTTTAAAACCAACCTACTCACATCATTCTCCTGCTAAAGACTTCCAATGACTTCCCATGACATCCAAATCCCTTTGCTTGGTATACAAAGATCTTTTTGAGATGGACACCAGTATCTACGCAATCTCATTTTCCTTCACATCCATCAAAAACTTCTTGTCGGCCAGGTTCGGTGGCTCAGCCTGCAATCCCAGCATTTTGGGAGGCCGAGGCGAGTGGATTGCTTGAGCCTGTGGCTTTAAGACCAGCCCAGACAACTTGACAAGACCTCGTTTCTACAATAAATCAAAAATTAGCCGGGCATGGTAGCAAGAACCTGTATTTCCAGCTCCTTGGAAGGCTGAGGCAGAAGGATCACCCAGCCTAGCAGGTCGAGGCTGCGGTGGCCAGGAGCGAGCCACTGCACTCCAGTCTGGGCGACAGAGTGAGACTCCAACTCAAAAAACAAAAAACAAAAAAAACTTCTTGTCACTCTTCAAATGTTATACCCTTCCACAGGCCCCTGGCTTGCAAATATTGTTCCTCAACTTGAATTGATGTTTCCCATCCTTTCTCACCTCCTTTTGTTTGAGATATATACCCAGATGAGGGATTGCTGAATCATATGGTGATTATTTTCTTTCTTTTTTCTTTTGAATTGGGGTCTTATTCTATCACCCAGGCTGGAGTTCAGTGGCACAATCACAGCTCACTGCAGCCCCAACCTCCTTGGCTCAGGCGATCCTTCAGTCTCAGCATCCCCAGTAGCTGGGGCTGGGACTACAGGCACACACCACCACACCCAGTTAATATTTTGATTTTTTGGTAGAGACAAGGTCTCATTATGTTGCCTAGGCTGGTCTTGAACTCCTGGGCTCAAGCAGTCCTATTATCTTGGCCTCCCAAAGTACTGGGATTTTAGGCATGAGCTGCCATGCCAAGTCAGATCAACATTCTTTGCAAATTTTAAGCATACAATGCATTTCTTTTAACTATAGTCACATGTTGTACAATAGATCTCAAAAACTTATTCATCCTGCGTGACTGATGTTCTGCACCCTTTGACCAGCATCTCCTCATTTCCTCCACCCCCAGCTCCTGGCCACCACCATTCTACTCTCTACTTCTATGAAATCTGCTTTATAAGATTCCACATCTAAGTGAAGTCATGCAGTATTTGTCTTTCTCTGTCTGGCTTATTTTACCTAGCATAATATCCCCCAGGTACATCCATGTTGTTGCAAATGGCAGGATTTCTTTCTTTTTTAAGGTTGAGTAATATTCCATTACACATATAGTTATGCAAGTTATGCACTGCATAACATTCTTGCCAGCAGTGGGCAGTGTATACAATAGTGATTCTGTAAGAATATACTATTGCATTTCTACTGTATTTTCACTCTGTTTTTCATATCTTCAGATACACAAATACTTGTCATTGTGGTATAATTGCCTAAAGTATTCAGTGCTCAGTGATTTATCACAGAAACAAAGAACAGAGTTCCATATGTTCTCACTCATAAATGGCCTTGAACAATTATAATGCTATAAGAAAGCAATTGGCAGTGGTGGGAAACTGTCAGGGGAAGGCAGGGTGGGATTGGCAGTTGAGGGAAACTGCTAGGGGAGGGAGGGGCATACCTCATCAACAAGGGTACCTGCATGATCAATGTCTATATACCTAACCCTGAAATGTACCCCACATCTTTACAATAAAATTGTTTTAAAAAGTGTTCAGTACAGTAAGTCACATGCTATACGGATTTACAGCCTAGGTATAGGCTATATCATATCATTTAGGTGTGTAATAAGTTATTCCATCTAAGACTGAGTACACTCTATGATGTTTGCACCACAAAATCACCTAACAATGCATTTCACAGAATGTATCCTCAGCATTAAGTAATGCATGACTTTATATATATTGGAATGTATAGATATATGTGTATACACACATATACATTTATACATACACCCCACATTTTCATTATCGATTCATCCATTGATAGACATTTAGGGGGATTCTATATCTTGGCTACTATGTTTGCTGAAACAAACATGGGAGTACAGATACCTCTTTCAGATGCTGATTTTATTACCTTTGGATATATACCTAGATAGAAGGTTGCTGGATCATATCGTAGTTCTATTTATTAATTTTTAAAAAGTTTTTCTGGCTACAAGTTTATTCCACACAAAATAATCCCCTCCAATTTTATTGAGGTGACTGACCACGTCCATGACCAAATCTGCCTCTAAACTGGAATTCAGTTGCTGACCCAGCCGCAGTCTTGGCTTTCTTGTCAGCAACAGGGGGCACAGTACTCCGTCTGTAGGTGTCTCTGTCAGCTTCCCCTCTTGTGAGTCTTGCAGGTTGTTCACCCTCCAGACCTTTGGGCCGAGTTCTGCCACTCTTTGGATAGCTGCAGTGCAAGGTGACTGGCACAATCTTAGGGGGCAGGTAGAGGTAATCACATAGATACTGAATACCCTTGTGGGTAAGGTACCAGTAGAAATATTTTCAGACAAACTGTTCCTTCATGTAACCTCAAGACTTGAAAAACTGCATGGCCTTTATGACATAAAGGTTGGGCACATTCTTGTCAGCCAGCTCTGAGTACTTAGACATATGGACATCTTTTTTGACCACTATCACTCCCACCTTAAAAAGGAGTTAATAAGCTGGGCTCGGTGGCTCAGCCTGTAATCCCACACTTTGGGAGGTTGAGGTGAGTGGATTGCCTGAGCCCACAGGTTCGAGATCTGCCTGGGCAACTTGGCGAGACCTCATCTATACAATAAATTTTTTAAAAATTAGCCGGTTGTGGTAGCGCGCGCCTGTAGTTCCAACTACTTGGAAGGCTGAGGCGGAAGGATCGCCAGAGCCCAGCAGGTCGAGGCTGCAGTGGCCAGGAGTGACCACTGCACTCCAGTCTGGCTGACAGAGTGAGACTCCAACTAAAAAAAAAAAAAAAGGAATTAATAAATGGCAATCCAGTTCTTCTTGGGCATCAACATCGCAATGGCTATAGGGTCCGGGGCCGAGGTTGGAAAGGTCTATTTATTAATTTTTAATGGGAACTCCATGCTGTTTTCTATAATAACAGTACCTGCTTATATTTTCACCAATAATGTACAAGGGCTGCCTTTTCTCCACAGCCTCACCAACACTTGCTATCTTTTGCCTTTTTGATTACAGCCATCCTAACATGTGTAAGATGATCTCTTATTATCATACATGCATTATTGTCTACTTTATTACTATGTGACTTTAGAGCTAACAAGTTTTTCTTTCCAGAATGACTGAAGGTCACCATATGTACACAGCTTTATCTTTAAAAGACCTATACCTATATTGACATATAGTGTATGACATAATAGATCAAAAAATTCCCCTTATATTTAAATACAGACATATTTAAGTGTGAAGCTTCCTGAATATTTAAGTCCTTAATACTGGTTCTAAAATCAGCACTCTTGTACCTACCTAGGTCAAATTATTATTATGTATTATTCTTTGTTTCAGTAAAATAATGAAGAATATCAATTTTAAAAGTCCAAATACCTAGAAATAAATTTAGTAAGAAGAATAAATCCAGTAATTAGTCTGGGAGTGCAAAGGGGGGTGGATTTCATTACATAATAGTTTCCAAAGGGAACTAACTGTCTTCCTTTTGAATCTTGATTAAAGGTGCGCATAGGAAGGATAGTCTGCTCCATATTCCTTGGGGATTTCTTTCCATGATTTGGTTTCTCTTGAGTAGCTGGTATGATTAACTGGGCTGGTTTCTTTTATAATTGTCCTGAAATCCTTTGTATTTTCAAACTGCTTTGCAATTGTTTTTTCTTTGGATGTACTTAAAAATGAATCCATTAGGTGATGTCGAAGAGCAAGCATAACTCTGGGAGGCTGTTGTCGGCTAAGCCAGGATAAAAAGCCTAAAAAACCCTTCCATTTTTTTAGGGTGCTCAAGGTGCTGTTTTCAAAATATTTGCATTTCCAAAATCCAAATAAGTCCAAAAGAACAGTAGCTTAGCTTTCTCTCTTTGGATTTAGGATAGAGTTGGCCGATAAAATAAAGGATGTCCAGTTAAATTTGAATTCCAGATAAACAGTGAGTATTTTTTTAGTATAATTAAGCCCTATGCAATACTAGTAATTCTAGTACTAGGAAGTCTGCATTTTTATTTGCTAAACCTGGGAACCCTAATTTAGGAAGATAACATTATTCACCCCACAGCTGTATGAACTTGGGCAAGGAACATAATCTTTCTGGGCTGAAATTTTCTCATCTCTAAAAACAAAATGTTGGGCTATAAAAATTGCACATGCATCTTATTATTAACTAGGCTATGATATGATATTTCTCCATCATCCAAGATTTCCCTGGAGATATAATTATATACCTCCAGGTGTCATGCAAAGGATGCTGCATTTGGAGTAAGAAGACTTGAGTTTGAATCCTGCCATTAACTAACTATGTGATCTTAGGCAAAGTAAACCCTCAAAGTCTCAGATTCTTCTTCTACAAAAATGGAAATAAGATACTTACTATAAGGGCTAAGTTAGCTAATGTGTGTAGGAGTGCTTTGGGCTTACATAAAGCCATAAACAAATTACTGCTCTCAGTCAATGTAAAGCCAGTTATCAATGCTATGTGGCCAGAATCTCTGTTCTCCTGTATCACTCAAGCCAAGTTTTCAAGCTCAGGTAAGTTCTTAGAAGGTACCCACAAGTAGTCATTTTACTGTCCTTGCTCTTTGTATTTTGGGAGACTTAGGTTCAAATGTCAGCTCTATGCCTCAGTTTCCTCAAATAACAAATGAGCAAAACAATACCCATTGCATGCATATATCAAGAGAATTGAATGAAAAATATATATATACAAAATGCCAGGCACCAGAGTTTCTTACTAGAAATAACAGTTCCTTTTCTTTTCTACTGTTCCCTAGGATGCCCCAGTTGAAGCCTGGCTCTGGGGCTGAGTGGGCATGTTTAAGGAGTAGGCCTGTTTCCATTTGCCTTCTTTACCCAGCAGCTCTGTTTTCTGAGTCTAGCAGGACTAGGAAGGTCTCCTCCAATTTCAGACCTCCACCTAGGATGGAGTCTGAGATACCCAATGTATTTTGTATCCTCTGATCTCTATGGACCCAGAAGACAATAATAACCTTCCCTAACCTCAACCAGATTCAAACCAGAAAGCAGCAGGAGAAGAGTCGCCTTGACCCAAGGGGCATCCAGCCTCTCCCACACCAAACGCAGGATAATACAATCCAGACCGCACGAAATTCCCTGTATTTGTTGACTGCCTCAGCTGTCACTGCACCAGGCCTTTCAGGCTCTTTCCCTCTTGCCTCAGACACAGCTCTTCCTCAGCCACATTTTTCATGTCACCAGACCAGTCCTTGTTGGGAGCAGAGAGATGTCTGCACTAGGGAGGGTTCAAGCTGCCCAGGAGATAGTGGGCTCACCCTTGGCAGAAACCAACTTGGAAAGGGCATCACGGTGCTTTGCAGCACATCTATGGTGCAACAGTGACCTCCAGTGGCTGAGCAAGGAGGAGATGACCGCCCACGCTGTCTCAGGGCAACCCTGTCCTCCAGAATGCTAATGTACAGAATGACAAGCTCTTCCTAAAATAACTTCCCAGAAAACCTATGCACAGCATCTAAAAAAAAAAAGAAGAAGAAAAAAAGACACGAGTCCACAGTTATGCACCAGTAGAAGCCAATCATGTCTCTCCATCACTTACAAGCCTTAAGTGACCAGTGGCCCATCCATTCGCCACAGGATAAAGTCTGAAATCCTTAGTGCATCGAAATGATTCCTTAAGATCTGGGTCTGACTATCTTCTCAGAGACACCGGGGTGTCAGTCAAACCTAATCTGAGAGGCTAGTAGGTAAACAAAAACGTCAGCTCCAGGACATCAAAAAAGAAGACTTGAAACACAAGAAGGGCAGTCACTCATGTGTAGTTGTAAATAGGAACAAATGCCATGGTTTCGGAAAATGAGACGTGCAGGAGGAAACATGGCGAAGTCTAACATTATTCTTTGAACAGCGTCTTGCTGGATCATGGTTGCTTTGAAAGTGCTAGAGTGCTGGAAAGTGTTGGTTGCTTTGACAGTCCAGGGAGTGGGTCTAATGAAGATGTCCTATAAGGTCTACTTTTGTAACTCAAGAGAGTCTTCCCTGAACAGCCAATACAACTCCAACTGTGTGTCCAATATTTGTCCTGCACATCTAAGATGGCAGAGTCATGGGCCTGCTCCTCAGCCTCCCAGAAACCATTTCTGACTTACTAGATGTCCTGTGGCAGGTTCTGTTATGTGTCCCTTCTGGATTTTACCACAAATGGGAGAAGAAGCTGTCTCTTGACATTCAGGACCAGTTGTTGGCTGAGGTATCTGGGAGAGATTGAAGACATAGAGGCTGTATGTCTATGCATTTTTGTATCTGCACACCTCAGAAATCTCTTGCACGCAGATGAAGAGTCTATAATATTGCCTCTCTTGGGAAAGGCAGCCAACATGAGGAAGAGGACAGTGTGGATCTCCCTCTAGGCCCTGTACAGCTTTTGTAACTGCTATTGTGATACTAACACAACACAGAATATTTTCTGTTCATTTACCTATTTGTCCCATTAGAAAATAAGCTCCTTGAGAGCAAAATCACATCTTTCTCAGTTATCACAGTTGACACTCAATAAATATTGGCTGAATTAAACAATAAATAAGCAGTGACTTACGCTTATAATCCCAGCAGTTTGGGAGGCCAAGGCTGAAGGATCGCTTGAGCCCAGGAGTTCAAGACCAGACAGCCTGAGCAACATAGCAAGACCTCTTCTTTACAAAAGAATAGCTGAGTGTGCAGTGTACACCTGTAGTCCCAGCTATTCAGGAGGCTGAGAAAGAAGGATCACCTGAGCCCAGGAGGTCAAGGCTGTGGTAAGCTGTGATCATGCCAGCTCTCCAGTTTAGGCAACAGAGTGAGACTCCACATCAAAAAAAAAAAAGAAGAAGAAGAAGAAGAAGAAATAAGCAACCCTGGTGCCGGGGAAATTGATCACAAAGTTCCCAGATTGGAGCAACAAAAAGTTTTGTATCTTCCCAGATTTGCCTTTTATCCTATTATAGATATTGCTGACAAGTAAATTAGAAAAACTATTAATTTTGGAAAGAGATTAAAGTGGTTTTGAATTCAGGCTGGGCCATTTTATTTGCGTTGGCAATTTACTCAAATTGTCTAAGATGCTTTCTTCTCACCTATAACACAAAGATAATAAATATAATGCCCTTCTTACTAAAATGTGGTGTAAGAAATGATACAAGTAAAGTGTCCCTGCATAGGGTACAGCAAGCAATAGGCCTCCCACAAATATTGGTTGTTGTGATTATAGTACAGTATATTTTCTTGTACTGCATTTTGAACCAATTCAAACTCAGAATCCGTAGTGGGTAGTCTTATCCAATAGGCAATTCTTTTTTTTTTTTTGAGTTGGAGTCTCACTCTGTCACCCAGACTGGAATGCAGTGACCACTCCCGGCCACCGCAGCCGCGACCTGCTGGGCTCCAGCAATCCTGCTGCCTCAGCCTTCCAAGTGGCTGGAACTACAGGAGCGCGCTACCACACCCGGCTGATTTTTTTGATTTATTGTAGAGATGAGGTCTCACCAAGTTGCCCAGGCGGGTATCGAACCCACGAGCTCAGGCAATTCACTCACCTCAGCCTCCCAAGTCGTGGGATTACAGGCCGAGCCACCGAGCCCAGCTTCAACAGGCAGTTCTGGTGCAGGACTCAGAAACTGGAGGATGCCTTAGCATGACTGGAGTGGTTGTGCATGTACTTACGGGAACATACTTGTGCACTAACCTGATGGTTGCTGGGGTCTTGCTGAGTGTGAATTCACATCAGTGTGGAGGTGTGCCTACATCCAGACCTTAGTCTTTGTTACTGGAGTTAGGAGAGGGAAGTTATGGAGCCCTCAGTATAGAGAATCACTTAAGAGGGTGACAC